GGGGACAAGAATTCCCGCCAAACTGCAATCTCAGCCCAATGGCCTATGCGGATTTTATTGTTTCGCCCAACTACGTCACTCGACGAGAAGGAAGGTTGGTTTTGCACCCTTTTCCAAAAGATTTTTCGGATGCAAAGGACGGCACCTCTCAGATCAGTTTATTCGTTTCTTTTGTGTATTTTTTTTTTTTTCCTAATAAGACCCTGCGACATTTGTTTTCTTGCAAATTTAATTGCATTTTTATTTGATTACAGCACCATTCTCTTTATAAAAGTTCTAGCTTCTTTAAGCTTTAAAGGACCAGCCTGTACGTTGTTGTAATTTTTTTTTTACTAATAGCAGACCGCTATTTATTTTATTTTGATTTTGATTTTAATTTTACATTGCTCGGAGTTGTAATTGCTTTTAACACCCTAATGTGTATTTCAGCGGACGCGTCGGGAAAAAGGAACAGAGCAGTGAAGCTCCAAAAAAGGATTTATTCCAAAAAAGATATATTCGGGAATACTAATGTTCTTTTATAAAATTTTTTCGCATTAAACAAGAGCTTCAATGGTCTGTTTCGGCGAAACGCGTAATGGTATTTAACCTAGTTCGACAATCAGTTTTTCTCCCTTGAAAAGCCAATTGAGAGTAAGAGTGGGTTAATTTACCATTTTCCGCTATGTAATCATTGTATTTTGTTTTGCTGCAATTTATGTTTTATTTTTAATTTTTACTTTTTATGTATTGGCATTTTTCAGTCTATATTTTTTATATGTATTTACTTTTCTTATATTTTTTTCCGTCAATCTATTTTTCATGTGAGTTAACTTTTCACATATCACAGCAGTCAGATTAATTTTTTCGTGCATTAGCATGTCTTCCAGCATTAATTTTGGCAGTTTTTTCGCGTGTTTACAGTTTTTTCCAGTTTTTCCAGACAAATTTCTTCTTAGTTTATATTTTTGTAATACAGCGTTTAAATATTTCGTGGAGCTACAGCTCCTGGTAACCTTTTAGTAAGATCGCTGCAATGTTTCTACCTACTACTATTATTTCGTGTTTGTTAAAATATATACCGTGTGGCCATAATTAAACTGACAGCGCTCACAGTGTTATGTAGCGCGATCTATTTGCGAGAACGACGCCACATTTTGTAGGAAGATTAAACAAGACGGGGGACGAAGGATTCCGCGGAAAAACAAATTTCCAAAAGTCACCGCAAGGGGAATATTTGGTGATGTGTAATAGAAAATAGAGTGTTAACAAATGCAAATCAATACGGAAATTACCTTTTATTTTGCATTCAAATGAGGTTCAATGTGGCTGCCGTTGTTGTAGACCACATATTGCATTCTGTGCACAGTATGCACAACAGCAGAAAGAAACATGTCTGCAGGAATCTCCCGTACGGTCCGTGATATGTTATTCTTCAACGTAAAGCAAGTCCTGGACCACTCCTTGATAGACCTTGGACTTAAGGTAACCCCATAGCCAGAAGTCGCATGGGGTAAGATCAGGCGACCGAGGTGGCCATGCAATTGCAAAATAGCGTCTAATGACTCTTTCTGTTGTGAATTTCTGTCTTAGCATCTGTTGCACCCGTACAGCAACGTGTGGAGGGGCTCCATCTTGCATGAAAATGATTTCCCCCAGGCATTGTCTTTGCTCAAGTGCCGGAATGACAAAGCTGTTCAACATGTGGCGATATTTCTTTCCGGTAACAGAACAGGTTTCCGGTCCTGTCGGGGTAATGTTCTCATAGAAGAATGAACCTACGATAAATTCCGCTGTGAATTCACCTTTGGTGAATGTAAGGGAATTGCTGTGACTGCATGTGGTGGTTTGTCATCCCAAATTCGGCAGTTCTGGGTATTCACAGTTCCATTCAGGACAGGTCCTGAAACAGGACCGTTACCTTTGCGTTCTTTTTTTTTTTTTTTTTTTTTCCCGTGCGTTTTAAAAGCACGAAGAGCGACTGACGCGTTGCACTGGTTGAGGTAAAAGAATTTGACCAATAACGCACGCTCGACTAAAGAAGGAGACATTGCACATAAACTTTCAATCCGATTGATTCGAAGCGTAACACATTGCCTTTTAAAACCCAAGCAGCTGGCACTGTGCGAATGGATGTAACGTGAAATTTGAATAAAGAACTTCTTCTTCTGCTCAGCGTACGTGATATTGCAGATCACGAGACTTTATCGGTGTTTATGTAGATTTTACGCTTTTTTAAAAGTGTTGCCATATTGCACTTGAACTAAATCAGAAAATGTGCTTAATAAAAGGTAATTTTATTCCGTATTAATTTGCATTTGTTATCACTCTATTTTCTATTACACAGCGCCAAATATTCCCCTATTGGTGATTTTTGGAATTAATTTGTTTTTTCGCTGAATCCTTCGTCCCCCGTCTTGTTTAATCTTCCTACAAAATGTGGCGTCATTCTCGCAAATAGATCGCGCTACAGAACACTGTGAGCACTGTCAGTTTAATTATGGCCACCCGGTATATATATACATTTAAATCTGCCGCTTGCAGTAAAAGAGGGAGGTGCTTAATTAGATGTTATAGCAGTCTCATATACAAACTTTCAACGTTCTACGGCTAATCATTTTTTAGTTATGCGAGATGCGTACATGCATGCATACATACATGGTAACAAAAGCTATATACGTACGTACGTACATACATATGTACATACATACGTACATAAAGTCTGATGTCACTCAGAAATCCTTTTTGAATTCACTTTAAATCCATTTTACAATCCGTTTTGGAAAAACAATCCTGTATTCTGACGTCACGCAAAAAACCGTCCAGATGGGTTCGGGAACGTTTAAAATGGATATTTCTGTTGAAATATACCTGAATTTTTCGCTATTACATTATTTCCTTTACTTCGGACTTAGAAATAAAAACAGAGTCATGTAAACACGTGCAGTTTATCTGAATTCAATCGAAATGTTAGCGTTCATCAGTTTCATCTACTTGACCATTAATAGGCCTCAGAGTTAACGTGTTATTCGTTCTGAAAGTAAAATGATATTAAGCATTGTTAGCAAAAGTTGTCGAGCCGTGCGTTTCAAGTAGTGATTGTTATGTCGTGCGTGAATTTCCTTCAAAATCTAAAGAGAGAGGGAATTTCTTATTTCAATTAAAGAAGTAAATCCCTTATTCAGCATACATATGTCTTTTTGTAATTTGAGTTGGTAACCTATAAATTGTGTTTCATATGCTTTTGGGGATTAACTAGCCGTCTGCGTAGTCAGTCGGCTTTAGGTCCGATTATGTAGAAACCGGTTAATCAAGAGTCTAATGCTTTTCTTAAGTTGCTTGATTTGATATCTTATTTTATGCGCGTTTTAAAATTTAAGGTTCCGTATAACAGGTGATATTTTTTTCCTCTTAACTTAGTGGTAAATGTTTAAAATAGCTTGTAATTCAAAAATTGAAATGTAAACTTTTTTTTTTTTTTTTTTTTTAAGTTAATGCTATTTTAAAATTTAAACTTCTTGAGAATAAACTGTTGAGTATCAAAAGCCACTTTTATATTAGCAACTTAATTGAGTGGTTTATTTCAAAAACTCTTGTGTTACTTTATTAGTCTTGAATATGTTATAAACCGTTACTTGTAAATGAAGCACTTTTTGCATATAAATTAAAATACTCTGGAGTTGAATTAATTTTCATGAATGTCCTATGTATTTTCCCGGTATATAGTGCATATATATATTAACTGAATAAGAAATTTTGAACTAATCCACAAAGACACGAAAGAAATAAGATTCAAAACCAGTAAAATCCAAAATTCCCTAATTAGTATATTAAATGTAATTTTACTATACTGAAGTATTTATATTTTTGTATCTTCATTATAATAGTATGTGTTATTTTGCTAGCTGTAATGTTGTTATTGAACTGTACGTTTCATAAAATTTAAATATAAACTGTATAATTTGCCATGCCTTGCAGTTTAGCTATGTTCTAATTTTTAATAATATTTAATTATTTAATTTATTTTCCCAGTCTAGTATTTTTTCCTACATCAGTTGGCGCTGAACAAATTTTTGAAACTACTCTCATATACGCCCTCGCTTGGCGAGAAACTCTACGGTGCCATATTACTATCTAAATTTTTAGTCTACATTTCGAACTTTAAGCCTAAAATGTCTCCAAAAACGCGGTTTTCGCATGTGCAAAAACCACGTTTTGAACACACAATTTAAGCTAAAAATCAGAAATACCATATACACAGAGTTCTGTTTAAACTTTAAAAAACATCTACGAGTTGCACAATCTAGGCATTGCGCACTAATCAACAAAATAAACCAAAAGAACTAAAAGAAATTTCAAACAATTAAAAAAAACAATAACTACAGAATTGATACTAAAAAAACAATGAACATAACATTCTGCAAAATAAGAACAAGAATAAAATAAAATGCCCTTACCATAAACGAATGCTTCTTCGAACAGCAGAAATACCAATTTCAAACATCACCAAAAATTTGTTAAAAGCATCTTCTCCCGTTTCAGAACAACGATGGAAAAATATATAAACCACCAAATAAAACTCAAAATCGAATTTTCGATTATAAGTGGGCAACGTAGCTTTAACATGCCGCCACTTAATCTCGAACGTATTATTATAACAGCCAGACTCACTATCTACAAAATTGATACTATCTTTCACAAATAAATGTTCAAAACCTTCTTCTCCTAAATACTTGTGAGAATTTCTATTTACCCGAAAAAAATAGTTGTACCAGACAGGCGACTAAAAGTTGGCCAACATGTCTTTCATTGCATCTTAAATCATTTAAAACCACACGAACCAACTAGCAACTAAAACCACTGCAGTAAAATCCAAGTTTCCACGTAAAAAGGGTTGCCATAGAAACCAATATCGCCGCATTTGGGCGACCTGAAGGCGCATATAAGAGTAGTACCAAATTTTTAACAGTCATTACCATTGAATTTAGCAATTTTAACAGAATATTAATTTTTCGTTGCAGAATTGTTTGGCAAAGGCTTTATATGATAATGTGGCCGAAGCTCCAGATGAATTGGCCTTTCGGAAAGGTGACATACTGACCGTCTTGGAGCAGAATACTAACAGTCTGGAAGGATGGTGGTTGTGTTCCTTGCGAGGCAGGCAAGGTATCGTGCCTGGGAACCGTCTGAGACTGCTTCCCGGCATGTATGATCCAACAGGTCTCGGCAATGCTGGGACAAACTGCATAACAGATGCGTCTCATGCAATGAGGAGAAGTTGGGCCTCTAACCCAAACAAGGTACTTTTCATTTATTTTAAAAATTCACTTTTGTAAACGCCGTAGCATGTCTGTGAACTTGCATGTTGTTTATTTTCTGATTATGCAACTGGTGTTCGTAAGTCACTGATCCTAATTACTGCCGTATGCTTAAGCTGCACATCCTTCAAATGCTGCTGTGTAGTCTTTTTTATGTAATGCAAGGTGTTTTTATTTCTTCATAAGTAAAATTGATTGATATTATATCTGAACTTCTTAAAGGGAAGGGGATATTCAGCATTTCTCGACGACTTATCTCATGTTTCTAAAACTGTTGATTAAATCCTATAATGCAGAGCATATGGGAAATTTTAGTTTTCTGTTCCACAGAGTTTGTAGAGACAATCATTTTCTGTCAGTGTAACATCAACAAAGCAAAATTCTATTCGAAACATTTCTGTAAAATAATTCGGAAATGTTCGGAAGAGTTTAAATCGCATGCGATCTTATGAATGTAGAGCTATCTCAAATTTCTTTTTGAAAGTTTAGTAGTTTTCAAGTCGTCAAGTGCCAGATAACAAAGCATCATTTCCTTATCGGTAAAGCTGATTTTTGCACTCTATCTAGTTAACGAATTGCTTAGTCATCAGAATTAGTACCAAGCTATGCAAGTCTCGAAAATGTCTGCTTCTTCCATCTCGACTAATGTATGCGCTGTAAGCGCGGTATTTTCCGTAAATTATTAAATCATATTTAATTCCTTTCGAAGATGCTTCTGAATTAATTTTGAGCATCAACTTATCCTTAAAGTTGGCAGCATTTGTTTAGTATTTTTGCTAGAACATTCATGATGTGACCGAAAATCATTATTTGCGTTAATAATTGTTCAGCGTATATTAAGTTAATTTGAATTTAGAAAACATCGTAATGGACGAAGTAAAATTTTGAGGAAAAGAATGCCAAGCCGAGCAGTAAAGCTGTACCTTTCCTTCAGAGGTACAGGTCCAGAAGAAATTGAATTGAGGATCTTACATCAAAATTATTAATATAAGTAAGTCTAGATTTCATAAATACGCAGGGAAAAAGGAATGTGTCATTTCTGTGCTTTTTTTTTTTTGGGGGGGGGGGGGGGGGGGGTTATTGGGGGGGGGTTATATTGTTATTATTTTTTAAAAAAATTTATGCACATTATTGTCGTGCTTTCTGTTTTTGTGAAAAGTAAAATATTTAATTAAAATTTTATTTTTTTATAAGATGAAGTGCAGGACCTTTGTTAAAATTCTATAGTTCAACCATTGATTGTGTTTGTAATGACAGCATATTTGACTGAAATTTGGAATCTGAATTCCATCAAAGATTCAGAACCACGCCAATAAGGGGGGGGGGAAGAGATTTAAAAAACTCGCCGAACTACTGCTTGGAATAAAATGAAATTATCTTTCCAATAAAAAAGAAGGTCATATTCCTTTTTATTGATCCCTCTCTAAAAACGGAGATTCTTCAGTGAATATATATATTAAACATTATTTCAAAGATACAAGTTTTTCATTCTGTACTGAATTTCATATGCGGCACCGATCTGTGACATGCGAAAAAAATAGTTTTGGACCATTTGTTACGCGGATTTATTTTAGTTTAAGTGACATTAACAAAAATATTAAATGTTTTTTATATTTTTTTATTATTAGGTTTTGTTCATGCTAGGTACACATATTAAATTGCACCCAATTCCAATTAAACTCTTGTTACAATTGAAAGATTATTACATATCTTACTATTGTTGCAACTAAACATTTTTGTTTTTAGCCCAAAGGGCGTTATCCCAGAAGGGCTATTAATTTCGTTTTGGCATTTTTCGTTGAAAACTTTAAATATCCGTTTTACTTTTCAAATTGTTGCCACCAAATACTGTCGCTCTAGGTTATATTTAAAGAAATTAAATAGTGAAGAATCTGCATAAATGTATGTTTCTCGCATTGTGATGACAAGGATACCTAGAGCCATCAAATTTTGAATAACGTAATCCTCTACAGAATATGGGCATCTGGAGCCCTAATTTGGAATTTGTATTATCGATTTCACATTTTGTAACACTTTAACGAATTTTTGATTAACAAACTCAACGATTTTAAGCGGGCAATGGCAAAACTGTACGCCATTTTTATCTCCAGCTTGCGAGACTGCGTATCGGAAATTCTAAAAATATTCTCTTTCTAAACTATTTTGTGATATTGCTGATGAATTGAATTTTATGGTTTAAGGGCGAAGAACATGATATTTAATAAATAAAAAAAAAGGCAACACACAAACGTTTAAAAAAAGGCCCCTTTTGGCATTAAAAATCGAAATATAATAAATAATGATTCGCCACGTTGGCATCAGGGATATAAAGTATTAGTAGATGTAAAATCAACGATGTTTCTACATGTGCTAGAATATTTCGGTTTGAGATGTATGCCAAGCAGATACGCAGCTGGGGAGCTAAATTATTGGTCGCACAAATTTATGCTAAAATTATTGTTTCTTCAATAACAAGGTATTTTATTTAGTGCCGAAATGAAATTTAGATCGGTAAACTGTCCACGTGTTTTATTATTGAGGGAAAAAATCAAATGCGCATGCTTCAAACATTCCAAAAAAAAAAAAAATTGAAAAGAAAAGAAAAGAAAAAGGTTGTTGGTGGCTTTAAGGTCTAGATTTTTAGATTATTACGGAGTTCGGACGACCTGATCTCGGACTTTGTACTGTATTTCCCGTGTTATGCCTTAAACTTGTGTAAATTTTATGATATGCGCACCATTTTTCATGCAGTCAACTCCCGATTAATCAAGTGGCCTACAGTATGGCCACTTGGCTTTGTGTAAAAAAGAAGCCAATTCCTACAGTATAGTTGTCTGCAGTTCCACATTGATTCCATACTAAATACAAAAGTAATGCACGCAAAAATATTGCCGTTTTTGGTTAGAGCGCTACTTCAATTTACATAAATAGAGGAACTTTTTCTTCAGATTAAACTGCTTGAAAATGCAAGGTAAATTGTTAATCGTATTTGTATATTAATTAATTATACATACATTCAATCTGCCTTCAATTTAACAGTAATTATGAGTTAACCGTTGATGTCGTCCCCATTATTAATTTACTAAATCAGGATTTACACTAACTACCCTCTTAGAAAAGTTAAGTGCTTACGCATTCATAAATGTGATTATCAGTCAAAAGAAAAAGTAACCAATTGCAGTTGTGAGGATTTTCATTGTTAAATAAAGAGACAAAGCATTTAGCAGAAAAATTTGGGTATTTATTTGTGGAGATGATCTCTGTAATGAGAAAAAGGTCTTCAGTTCGGTTATCTGAGCGTTTTTAATTTTGATCTCAAACCAGAAATATACTTTTAACATTGAAGTTCATTCCACCTTATTTAGTATTAGTGCGTCATCATCCACTGAAAGGATCTTCCCTTGATTCTGAAATGTCACGATGTATTATTCTAAGCGCCAGATGTCTAAACAATTTTTTCGATCCAGATTACTTGTATTAAAAGTAACCCTTTTATACACCGTTGCGTCAAAAATTGATTTCCACACCATACTTCTGTTTCACTTCGAGAGCTGTGGCTTTATTGGCCTGCCCTTTGGACCATTTCTACGTCACTGCAACGCAGAATGCTGCCAGCCGCTTATGGAAAAGTTACTACTAACATTTGTCTGTTTTCTTACAACAAAAAGAGCATTCACTCGTCTTTCTTCAGGAATGTGAAGTTGGCGCCAACCGCCAATCATCATCATCTTTCAAAAATGTGTGTTTATCCATTCGCCATGTCTGAAGTGTAACACTGAACTACTTCAACGAAAAAATTTATCTTCTTTAAATGAACTTTTTATTTTCGTCTCCGGCCGCTGGCGTCTTCGAGATATACATTAATGAGAGCTTGATTGTTGATATTTGGATACAGATTCCTTTTAATCTTTAAGATTATTATGATTGACTACTTTACAGTAGGCCGTGGGAAAGTACTACATATATGTCAAATTAAAGTCCAAATAAACAGTTGTGAAAAACGTTGAAAGATCTGTGTACTTTCTTTTTTTAATCAAGATCTTTTCAAAATTCTCATTGAATAAATTTTTATAAAGATTTAAGAGTTAGGCATAAAAAATTTTGTTGGTATCCACTGTAAAGGTCATTAAATTTAATTCTCTCCTAGAGCAGAGTATTTTTTAGGATTCAGATAATCTATACAGTACCGCGTATTTTGACTAATGTTATATGTTTATTGCACTAGTCATTTTATGTTAAAGGCAGCTAAGCTCTTTTTAAATGCATTTTTGACGCAGTGTGTGTAAAAATTTTAGTAATAGAAATTGTAATTGCTTGTTAAACATATTTATAATTATTAAATAAAATACTAATATTTTCGGTTGCATTTCGGATATTTCATTTTCATTATATCTAAAATCTTACTATGGACATACAAATGGGTAACTATTAATGGTTTGATAGATGAACTAGCATCGGAAATATTTGTATTAAATGTTCGTAAAATGTGGTTAAATATCTATTCTTCGTTAAAAAAAAGGTGGGTCATGAAATAAAGAACATCAAAGGTAAAAGCACTAAAGAACTTGGCTTTATTGGCTAATGTTTTATGAACAAGATGACAGAGCCAAGTTGTACTATTTAAAATGCATATTATAATAAATATGTAATTATGCCTTATACAGTACAAAGTCCGAAATCCGGACGTCCATTATCCGAAATAATGTAAAATCCGGACCTCAAAGCCACAAACTTTTTTATTTATTTATTTATTTATTTTAAATCCTTTACGCATGCGCATTTGATTTTTTCTTCTAAAATAAAACATGTGGAGATTTTCACTTAAAAATTCCGATTCTTAATTTCACTTAGGCAGTAAATAAAATACTTCGTTATGGAAAAACAATCATGTAAGTATAAATCTGTGAGATTAATAATTTGGCTACGTAGCTGAGTGTCTACTTGGCGCGAAACATTCATCTATTTTATACTTGACGCCGATCTGGCAAGTCATTATATTTTGCTTTCATCCCCCATGTTTATCAATACATGACAGCTTCAGTAATAACTCATGCAGTGATGTCTAAACTTTTTTTTTTATATTAGTAATTGAATAACAAAAATATGGCAACCTTTTATGCTAATATTACGCTTGGCGATGATTATAGATTTTTAAATGCTCTAACAAATGTTGACCAGGAAAAATTCAACAAAATTTCTTTTCATACGCTAAAAATAGATTTTGTTAATGAAACTCATAGGCCAAAAGATTACATTTAGTGCTATTTGAATTAAGAATAACTGATATGCAATTCACCATAAACCCAGAAACGGCGGCAGGATATGTTGGCACCAGACGGCATAATTTAGGGAAAACGAAATTTTTGGAATTTGGAGAAGCCACCTAGCGGCAAAATTAAGGGATGAGAAGTTTTTATGATTTAGGAAAAGCACTGGGATCCAAAGTTATGGCACTATAAAATTTTAGCACTTGGAAAGCGCTTTGTAGCAGAATTTAGGACCCGTAGAGGCACTGCACCAGGCGGTATCTAGCGCCGGCCCTAGATAAAGCCTTAAGTATATGTGGGAGTTTATTTATTATGGGCTCAGATAATTTTGAAGCATGTGCAAGAAATAAACGTAGTTATAGTAAATAACTAAACTAATACAGGCTTAATTCAGTACGCAATAGGAGCAAGACAAAATTTAGCGAACCAACTTGGCTTTCGTCGCCAATCTTGTGATACACAGCCAATAATGTATAACGGACGCTATTAAGCTAGGCAAAAATTATCTTTACTGATTCTGAAGCATTTCAATTAATGTAGCAGAAAGGCAGATCCCTCTCAAAATTATAGGAGTATGGCATTGAAAAGTCCACTGTGTATGACACAAGAAGAAGGAACTTTTTGAATTTTTTGTGGAAGCATCTTAAACAACTTACATTGGAAGAAATGTTTAATAAAGTAAACAAATAAATATTAAGGTTTTTTTGTTTTGTTTTTGTTTTTTGTAAATTTTGATACCCTTTAGATCATAATTGTTCTTTATTCTATAAATTACGATTTCGTGTTTTTAATTGTATAATTTCTGCATGCCATCTTACCAGATTTAACGTGATGATCTATTATCCGGAATCGCCGAAGTCCCGACCAGTCCGATTTCGGACTTTGTACGAGGTTTAATGATTTTAGTTCCCTCGAAGACAAATTTTTTTTGTTTTCTTCGATTTTCTCAATAAGTATTGACTCAGTACCCAGCCATATGCAAATGGAGGTGATCGAGATTCAATGCAACTCAAATTTGAAAGCAAAATTCATTGAAGTGGGCGTGCCTGAATTTTACAAACATTTACCAGCCAGGTTTGAAAATACTCAAAAATTCACATATGAAATTATTTCCATGTTTGGTAGCACTTGTCGGTGCGAGCAGTTGATTTTCAGTCATGAAAGGTAATAAGTCTCCTATTAGAAACCGTATTAATGATGCTCACCTTGGGTCAGCGTTGAAAGTTATCACAGCAAACAAAATTTCTCCCGAAATAAGAAAGATAATAGCAGAGAAGAGATGTCAAGTATCAGGACGTAAACATTAAATTTTTCTTGTTCTTTTCTATATAAATATATATATATGTTTATTATTGTATTATTCGAAATAAATCTACGTTTCTATGAATATTTATTTTTTTTTATTTTTTTTTATTTTTATTTTTTTATTTGCGGGCCTGCCTAAAGTTAAACCTTGTTTGTTTGGCCCAAGTGTACCTATGAGTTTGACATCCCTGGTGTAGAGTATTCTAGATTAAACAATAAAAAAGAAAAAATTACATTTTTTAAGAATTTTTTTTTAAAAAATTACTTTTTACAAAACTAATTTCTTTTTAGTCTTTTAAACTCTCATATTTTATTTCATAATTTTATACGTGGCTAACAATTGGTGGCAAATAAAAAGCGCACATTTTAACTGATGCCGCTCTAACAGAATAGTACCCATTTTTCATATAAATGTTTGCTAATATATTTGTAACATCTGTAAAAGATTGCAACTTTAATGGCTTTTGAAAGCAATATAAATTTTGGAAATAAGTTTGATAGTGAACCATTTCCTATGAAACCAGTATTTGCTAGCAAATTTTTGCAGTGGTTCTCAGAGTAATCACTATTTGTATTCAATTTCATGTGATATGTTTGTGTGAAGGAAAGAACATTAATCAGTATACCATTAAAAACTTTCAGTTTTTAAATTAAAGATTTTTATTTTGTAGTTTATAATTAGGGCTGGGGAGTCGGAGTTCGAGCTGGAGTTGCTAAAAACAGGTCGACTCCGACTCCAGTTTGAATTTGAGATGAAATTAAAATGAATTGAAAAAAAAATTAATGAAAAGCTGATTTATTATTTTTATTTATGGACTATATACATTAATAAATAGTTATTTTCTATTTTATTGACATATTAATAAATAAATATAAGGGAGGAGGATGGATGTGATATTTGCCATTAGTGATTAAATTGATTCATTTAGTTACAAATTTCACTGGTAAATTTAGGTAAGCAGCAATAGCAGCAAGAACTCCTAAAATTGATGCCATTCTTAGGAAGTGAGCTAGAAAAAGAAGCAATTATTGATCAAGCAACACGATAAAGAAGTACATATTTGATGATAGAGAGGTTGTTAGAATTAAGAGCTTTTTTAGATGATGTAGATAACCCTAATGTTTCACTAACAGAAAGACTGTGGAATGATCTTGCAGAATTGGAAACTCTTCTTTCTACACCGTATATAACCACAAAAAAGCTGCAATCTGAAGAATTGACAGAATGCGAGAATGGAAGAATGTGATGTTTGTTCTTTCTGAAATGGAGGGTTTATTGCAGAAAGAATTATTTCTTCATAGTTTGCTAGCCATTGAGATCTTGCTGGGTTCAATATATGTAGATCCGAAACACTGAATTTTCTTGAATGATGAACATATTTAAAAGGCAAAGAAAGCCATCTGTGAACTTTCATTAAGAATGAAATTATTCTCAGAACAATTGAAGAATTCAAATCAGGACAGTCAAACTGCAGACATTGTAATTGAGTCTCTACCATCCTCTTCCAGTGATGAACTAGATAAAAGGCTAAGACAAAGTGAAGGAAAATTAAGAACCAAGATCCTTTAGATATAAAAATAAAAAAATACAAACAAGATTTCTACATGGCCTTTGAAGAAATATGATTATGCTCACCTCTTTTAGATCTTATAAAAATCTATCCTGAAAAGTTAAAAGAAGTAGCCCTAACAGTAACAGCCTCCTACTCAAGTTAGTGTGGAAAGACTCTTCTCAGCTCTGAAGTTTATCAAATCAGATCTATGGCCCTCCAACAAAGATCTTGCCGAAGCTATACTGTTTCTGAGAAATAACTAATGCCAGTTTTTCCGTCTCATAATAAATGCTAATTTATATAAATAATTTGCTATGCCATCAGTTTTTTCCTGTAGCAACTATTACTTCTTTTATATTAAAAAAATAAACTGTAACCCATGTGTATATGTTTACATATATATGAGGGAGTCAAGTCGGAGTCTTTAAAATTCCAGGAGTCGGAGTCGGTCATCTTCCCTACCAACTCCACAGCCCTGCTTATAATAACTTTAAAATCTTAATTTTTATGGTAAAATATTGCATTATTTTTAATTATGGCTCTATATTCTATATTATAGGTAGTCACACCTCAGAAAATAGGAGCTGTATATTTGTATGACATACCATCTGGTGCAAAATTAAGTGAAAGAAATGAACAGTCTAAATCTTCATCACCAGTATCCCGCTACCCTATGCAAGGATGCGTAACAGGTTTGCTTATTTAAAGTATTGTCTGTCAGGGAGCTTTTAAATTTGAATTTCAGTAATGGTTTCTAATAAAATATTCTCAGTTAATTAGCAATATATTTATAGTATGACCTAGTTGCAATAAGAGCTCTATCTCAATATTCTGTACCACAATGTTATTGCATATACTAGTCAGTAATTTTATGTATATAAAAGAAATATTGCGAAATTATTTTTCCTAAGTATTACAATTTGCCTAATAAAATAAACTGTGTTCCAGTTCTCTGTGATCTGAGAAATTTATTACAACCTAAAATGAAATAAATAACTTTTTTTTAATTATCAAAGTTAGTTCATTATCTTTTCCAAACAAGCATTTCCTTTCCACTTCTCCTCTCCACTCCGACACATACTACAAGTAAAATGCATAAAATAATTTTTTTATAAAATTATGGCATAAAGATTGAGTTATATTATTAAGTGCATTACTGATAATTGCAGTGTTGCAATTTAATTTTTTTTTTTTTTTTTTTTTTTTTTTAGTGTTATTTGTTTAACGCAACATTAAATCATAAGTTTTACATAGCTAGAATATTTGTTCTTGACAAATAATTTTGCATCATTTCAACTTATTTTGAGCAAGTTATTTATCTCACCTTTACCCTCCAAATTGAGTGCATCATTTTTGAAAGCACAAAGTTGCAAAATTTGAAATAAGTGCAGTTAAAATCAGCAACAACCATATTTAAAAGAGCTTAGTATTTTAATTTTACGACTTAATAATTCATATCCAGTTTATCCATTTGACTTCATTTCATTGAAATAGGGGGAAATGAGTATTCTGAAGTGTAATAAAAATAAAAGTCTGCTTAAAAGCAGGTTCATTTTTATATTCTTCGACATTTATTTCTACATTTCTTTTTTGAAAGTAAAATGAAATAAATGGAATAATATTAAAATAAAGAACAAGGGTGATTGTTGTCCAGAATTGCAGGTTTTCCCGCTTAGCTTAAAACCAGAATTTCCAGATTTGTAAAATATTCAGCCATTATCTTTCTCAAATTTTGTTTAGATACATTATTCAGAGATTTCATGAAATGAAAGTCCATAGACTATATAAACACTAAATACCTTTAAAACTAAAAGAGTGGGGGGGGGACAAAAACTGATGGTATAAACTTTTGGGCTGAAGGCAGATGGAAAACAGAGCAAAGCTGATTAAATCTGTTTTAACATGCTTCCTTTGACCTTTTGTTGAAAACTCCTTTTATTACATAGGTGATATTATGATGCAGTGTTTAACACTGATAGCCAGGCTACAGAGACTATAAAATATTATTTATTTTCATTACTCAAAAATAAATGTGAAGTTTTTTGGGAGGAAATCCTGATTGACCTGACCTAAGACCTAAACACCTGATTAATAAAGATTTTAGGGATAACTAATTGACTAACTAATCAGCAAGCCAAAATTCTTTACATTCCATTGAACCGTTCTGTTTTTTTCTTAGCAGTACTTATCTAAACACCTGCTGATATGCATACTTTAAACTTTAATCTAATACATAAAGTTTTAAATGAAAAAACCACTGCATGTATCAAAATCTCTTGCTGATGATGCTGAACTTTAAATGTTTAGCAGAGAAAAATTTTAAATCACAGTTCCTCCTCACAAGCAAGCTAAACTTGGCAATTATTTGCAAGAATGTTGCTAAACCAAAATAGTACCAGTAGGTACCTGAGTGAAATTATGCACTAAAATATTAATGAGTTTTTTAAAGTTTTTTTGGCTTCACTAATAAAATTGCTTGAAAATATGCATGTATAATTAATTTTATATGTGTGTATTAATAATCTGAATTATTCAAAATCATGCTAGATTTTTATTCCACAATGGTTTTCAGGATTTCTGAAATGGTTTCGCAATCTCTCCTGATAAAGAAAATATGTAGATTCCTTTAAACCTGTATATTATTATAAAATTTAATATTATCTGTAAGACTTTATTTTGGATGTCCACAAAATAATAGACCTTTGCAATCAACTTATTATAAGTATTAAAAATGTGCTTTATGTATAATATTTGTGTTCATTGTTAAAATCTTCAGAAAGTGTTGTAAAGAAATTCAAATAAAATTACATTTTAAAAGTTTAACTTGCACTGTATTTCACTATATACGAGGGGTGATCCCAAAAAAGTTTACAAGGCAAATGAAAAAGTATTTATTAACAAAAGAAACAAGATACAAATGGGAATCAAGAGACACATCTGACCTTCACTTTTCCACATAGTCGCCAAACCTGTTTAGGCATTTGTCAGAACTTTCGACCAACTTGTTTATCCCGTTTTGGTAGTAATCAGTACCCTGCTCATTGAACCATTTCTCGGCAGCTGTTTTCACTGCATCGTCTGAGGTGAACCGTGTTCCGGATAAGTATCGCTTCAACACCGGAAAAATGAAATAGTCACTTGGAGCCAAATTGGGGCTGTATGGGGGGTGATTCCAGACCTCCCACTTGAACCTTTGCAACAATTCCTGAGTCTGGTAAGCTGTATGGGGCCTGGCATTGTCATGCAGAAGAATGATGCCTTTGCTCAGTAATCCAGGCCGTTTGCGTCAGATGGCTTTACGCAATTTCGTTAAGGTGGCACAATAACGATTGGCCTTAATGGTATGGCCACGCTCCAAATACTCGATTAGGATAACACCAGTCGTATCCCAGAAAACGGTTGCCATCACTTTACTGGCAGAGGGTGTGACCTTAAACTTCTTCCTCGTCGGTGATCCAGCGTGTTTCCACTCCATCGTGGCTCTTTTGGATGTGGGGGTGAAGGGATGAAGCCATGTTTCATCACCAGTAACGATGCGATCAATGAAGTGTTGGCCGTCTGAATGGTATTGCTGAAGAAATGTGAGGCTGCACATCATTCAAGTGGTCTTATGCTCCACGGACAACACATGTGGAACCCAGGGGGCACAAACTTTGGAATATCGCAACTCATCGGTTACGATATGCTGAACGTTACCATAACTCAGGTCCATCTCTGAGGAAATCTCACGCATGGTTACTCATTGATCTCTTTGAATGATTTCCTCAACACGTGCCGTGTTGATATCCGTCCTTGAAGAACTTGGACGGCCGCTCGCTTCCATATTGCGGTTTTCCACATGCTCCCTGCCCGCTTGATAAGAAGGACACCATTTCGCTACCTGTTTTATCTACTCATTGCTTTGTCCCCGTATACCTCAACGATTTGTCTGTGAATTTCAGATGCAGCCACATTCTTGGCCCATAAGAATCAAATTACAACTCACACCTCTATGTGAGACCACTTTTCTAGACGTCATGCCATTACTGACGCTATTTACTCGTAGAATCGCTGTAGGACAACTAGCGCCATTTGTCAACCACCCTGGGTGGAAATATTTGCTCCACAATTATTATGTTTCAAATGCTTCTGCTTGTAAACTTTTTTTGGGATCAACATATTAAAGAAAAGGTTGAAGGAGCCAATGTAATCGGTTCTTGAAATTAAAATGGAGCTTGAATGTTTGTAAATGTATAGTGTCTGTGTGATAAGGAGGTACTTTAAATATGCGGAAGCCGAAATTTCTCTCAAGAGGTTGGTGGTAGGGGGAGGGAAGGAGACCCTCGGACCTGTTGCCGCGGGTGTTCGAGATATAATTTAGAGTTTTTTCATTGGATGACTGGTACATGAGCCTTGCAAAGGTATATCCTACATGCATTTATAGTTACAGTTTATATTTTGCTAGAAGTGAAATTCACGTAATGTAAATCGTAATATGTTCCTTAAGGTGTTATTGTTTCCATTCCTTAAATAACGCGTCTCTTTCTTACATATATTATTAAAGCAGTATCCTAGTTTAATGTCAAAAGATAATTTGAGCAGCCCTGATCGATTTATTTGAAGATCCACTGGTATTTAAAAGCTATAGAAGCTCTGTGCTATGTTGGGTCTGTGAGCTCTGCACAAATTGTCAGATACAAATTTAAAACAACAAAAATAAATTTGCACTTATTATCTCTTTAGAGAATTAGAAGGGCAATTTTTCAATCTTAAGCCACTTAAAAGGAGAAGTTAATCCTTTACAAGGATATAAATTATAAAAAGAGTGACAAGGTATCATCTATAACACTTGAAGGAAAATTTCCTTCATTCAAAGATAATGCTAGGAAGTGGAAGGAATTACCTATGACAATTTATTTTGTGAAAAATTGTCCCATCTCTAAAAATTCTTTTGTGAACAGTTATCACAAATAAAGTATATTATTAATGATAAAAAAGAAGATTTTCTAGCTAAGAGGAGGGTTTTTATCATCTTGGCAACTCACAACTTCATACAAATTTCAGCATGAGAAATGGTGCAAAATTAAGTATTCAAAAAAGCATTCAATTCATTCTTTGGGAAAAAATGCAAGAGCTTCTGTCACCAGGGTAGTAAAAATTTTGGAATTTAATTGTAAATAATAGTACTTGCTGTATCTTTTTTTGGTTGTTTGTTCATTTGTTGCTTTATATTAAAATTTACTTTTAAGAAACTTTTTTATTTCATAGATGGTCCAGTATCAATAGTATTTTATCTTGCATCACGCAATGATAAAAATTCCTTTTAATTGGTTATTCTACTTTATTTCTTACCTTAGCAAATACCTTTTTGCTTCTTAGTACATGTGTGTATATTCTCGCATATTATATTAATAGTCACTGTGTGTGCTTTAATAATTATATGTTATACGAAATATTTGTTGGCTTTAGACTGTATTAATAGTCATTGTGTGTGCTTTAATAATTATATGTTATACGAAATATTTGTTGGCTTTAGGCTGTTTGAATCTTGCACGTCTTAAATACCTGTAGTTTTTGCATGGTTTTATTTTTAGTTTGAATACCAGTATATAAAAGTTTATAAGGTATGATGTAACATCATTTTACAAATATTAAAACATGTGTACATAATTATTATCAAGTATTTGTAATATATGACATGAGATGGAAACACAAAAGTAAGAAAATATAAGAATGAAATTATTCTTCAAGTGTATAAAAGAGAGAAAATTTTATCAAAGTATGCAGAAAAATTTCATTCTTTTATAAAATTTTTCTGGTTACAAATTCAGTATTCATATTTCACATGTTAGTGTGGATTTTTCGTAATTTTTTAATACATTCTTAATTTTTGTAGGAAGCTATGATACTCCTCCAAGCTCAAAACCAGTTCGAGTGGAAGCTTATGATGAACCTAGATCACATCCTTGCAGATCACCTGTTCCTGCTCTTTCAGTTTACGATTCTCCAAAATCTAATGCACCTGTTACAACAAATGGGCAGCTAGTCCATGATTATGATATACCTAATTCAGATCAAATAAGCACATATGATGTACCACGCTCTGCTGAAAAAGATATAGGGAATAGCATTTCCCACATTATTACTATTGCAGATAATTATGATGTTCCTGCATCTGCTTATAAGAACAGCCCTCCAACTTATGATGGCAGAGCATTTAGCCGTTCAAGTGGAGATACATCTGGCAGTTCATCTTTTCGATCCCCTTCAGGTAGTCATTCCAGCATTGAGACACTTTCCTTGTCTAGTGTTGGTGGGTCAAACCGTTCCAGCTTGGAACAACATCCTGGTGATTTGTATGACATTCCACCTGAACCGCAGCCTATAAATGACGCACGACTGGCACATCAGCTACGCACTGCAGGTACCAATGTGCCTTACCAGAGCAGCTTAGCTCAAGAAACTTACGATATACCTACAAACAATATGCCAACGCAGTTCTATGATACTCCTACTAAACCAGTCAAAGCTCAAATTGTTGCTGATGGTGTTTATGATGTACCACCTCAAGCAATGCGAGATAGTAGCCCAGTACCTAGAACAGACATTGTTGATTCACTTAGTCAAATTTCACTAGCAAGCTCTGACCTTCCTGATGGTAAAAATGCAGATGTTTTACCTGAATGCTCAGAACTTTTATTAGACCGCGAAGCTGCTGTTGAACTTCTAATGAAATATCAACATGAAGTTCAAAGTTCTATATCAAAATTGTTCAGTTTTGTCAGTACAACTTGGCGAAAATATGAAAGTATGGATGCCAAATTAAGTGAAATTAAGACAACCTGTCATAAACTACAGAGTTCACTAATTGAACTATATAATTTTGCACAAGGAGCTTTAGCCAATTCTACTCATGCTGCTGACAAATCTCTTTGTTTTAAGTTAAATAAACTAGTGATGCCAATAAAGGAGTCTTGTGCCACTGTCAAAAAATGTGTTCAAGCTTTAGATGAGAAAGGATGGATTGCAGCAAAACTTGCCCATTCAGATGATTCATATGCTCCTGATGAACTTGACATGTTAGTTGCATGTGCTCGAAATCTTGTAGAAGATGTACGTCAAGTGGCTTCCTTAATACAAGGAAATTCCACACTTCTGTTCAAGAATCAAACTTCTTTGGCAGAAAAATCAAAACCTCCTGTTGCTCCCAAACCTATTCTGAAAGTAAAACCATCGCCTTCTGCTAAACCTGCTGCCAAATTGCAGGAGAGACCATTGCCTCCTACACCAGCAAATTTACTGAAAACGCAGATCAGTAGTGGTGAATATTTCAATGAATATGATTATGTTAATCTGGAATCGAAAGAAACAGTAGAGAAAGAAAATGAATCAATAAAAGCTGTCTTGCCTAAAGACATGTGCCAGTCCTTTGATGAACTTGTGAAGCAGTCAGAAATTCCTGTTGTTAGTCATTCTGAAAATGTTCCTGAGATTGTAACTCCGGAAAAAACTGTTTCACCTTTAGACCAAAAAGATGTGCAGCTTCTTATGTTTTATGGTGTGCAGATAGAAACACATATCATGCATTTAACTAATGCCATTGATGCCTTTTTGATGACTATAAAAAACAACCAACCTCCCAAAGTATTTGTAGGACATAGTAAATTTATAGTAATTGGTGCTCACAAATTAGTGTACATTGGCGATAGTGTGCATCGAAATCTTAATAATCCTGAATTAAAAACTCGGATCATGCATAATTCCAATAGCTTATGTGACTCTTTAAAGACTTTAGTAAATAACACGAAGAAAGCTGCCACAGAGTTTCCATCTGTAATTGCTGTACAGGAAATGGTTGATAGTGTTGTTGATGTTTCACATTTGGCTAATGACCTTAAAATGTCAATAATACAGGCATCAAAATCATAAAAAATACCAGAATTAATTTAGTGTGGCAAATTTTTGTATTTTTGGGGGGCCAACAACGTAATTTGATCATTGAAAAAAGTGTAAAGCTTTTCACTTTCATTTGAAGTGCACAGTTAACTTATCTTGCTTTAAAAATATCTTTGAATTTTTTGTATAGTTAAAAGGAACTGCTAGTTTCTTACCTGTTGTATTCCTAAATGTCATTATATTCAGCAGCTTATTAATCTTATTATAAGACAAAATTTATGGTATGATAGGTGCTATGAGTTAGCCTTGCTAGGTGAGCCGGTTCTCCCAGACGAATTAATTCTTTTAATGATATCCTTCTGTATATATTCAAAGTTGAGACACTGTGCATCCATATGTTAATTTCTTTAAAAAGTATTTATATTTATTTCACATAGGAAATATTTGTGCCGTGTATTTTCATATTAAATTTGTTTGTTAATTTTGTTAAGAATTTTTTGTTTTTATTTGTTTATCTAAAACTATTTTGATTTTTTTTCCATCAAGGTTGTTTTGGCTGTGCATTCACTATTATAATTTTAAAAGTTATTATTAGCTAATTTTTATATGAAGACAATTTGCATCTGCCTGTGTATATATTCATTCATATAGTTCACATTTGCTATAATGACCACTTATTGTAGCAAACATCAGCTATATTAATTTTCAAGAATTCATTGCTAAGAAAATTGCCTCACCATTTCTGTCATAAAGTTGACTGATGTTATAATGATCCTTTATGGCCCAGCAGGAAAGAATGCTATATCAAATAGTTATTGCATTGAATGAGAAAGATGAATAGGCTTTTTCTTATCTATTGTTATATTGACAGTCACGTGTAATCAATTCATAATATTAAATATAGTTTTTCAGAACATTGGCAATCATATATATATATAAAGAACTAGTTAAATTGGGTAATTTTTGGTACTTAATAATTTTCTTTCTTTTCCTAGGAGATAATCTAAGAACTCTTCTAATAAAACTGCTTCCTATATACATATTTATAAGCTCCCTGAAGTACACTTTGAGTAACATAAACTGTTCAAAATTTCATTGTCATTAGCTACTTTGCTCTTCCCATATCAGGATAGAAATTAATTTCCTGCAGTAATCTTCATTATTTTCAAAAATAAGTAGATAAAAGTCTGTAATAATTGTGCAAAGTTATGCACTTTTTAAGAGTTAATATTAATTGCGAACTGATGATGGTGATGACATAATATAATTATCATAAAACTCGAAAATAATAAATATATCCTGTATTATTATTTTCTCGTTTCCTGTAATGTTTTTGTCTTCACTGCGAATAATTCCTAATTTTCCCACCAACTAGAAACATTAAATTTTAGGTTTATTTAACAATATATATGAAATATGGTAACAAAAGAAATTTAATAGTATCCCTTAGTGCAATATTTTAAAATATATATTTAAAGTAACATTCTTGCTTGATAAACAACAGTATGAGTATAATGGACTTTGATGCTATTATAAATATTTTTAAATCATTTTATTATTAATTAATTTAAAAACTATTCTTTAATTTCATGTAAGACTTAAATCATTGACTCACAAGAAAATAATAATAATTAAAAGACAGGCATCAAAAAGATGAATTTTTTAGTGCTTCTCTTGACTTTGTATATGTCATTTAATGCATGTTTTTAAAAATCTGTTAATTTTTTTCAATTTCATTATGTATGCTCATTCTGTTAGTTTCATTAACTCATATTCTTCATGGCTTTTAGTGTTATATCTAAATGATTTTGTTAAGTATATTAATGTAAAATATTTCTTCCCCTCAAAATGTTCATTCAATGAAATCTTGAAGGAAACTGCAGAGTTCTGAAATCTCTCAACTTTTTTTTGAGGGGGGGAGCTCTATTTTTTTAAATTACTTTAGTAACTTTATCTTAACAACAAAATATTTGTAATTTATTGTAATGCATGAACTATTGAACAAGTTTCTAGAAGTATCTATTTTGTTGTGAAGTTAGAAAACATTCTAGTCTCTTTGTTTTTAATGTTATCAATTTAATAATGTTTTAATATTGTATCAATGAAAAGGATTAAATTTTTTTATGTTAGACATATTCTAGTTAAGAAGAAGGGGAATTCTTTCTTAAATTTGATTTAATTTTATTTATTTCTGTTTCTTTTTTAAAAAAGATTGTAGATTGATAAGCAAAAGTAGCTGCTAATGCATTGCTAACCAACAGTCATCTGATAATATAAAATACTGACATAACACTAAGCAAATCTGGAATGACATTTATGTTAGGAGCTGATAAATTGACAGAAATAATTTGACAGAAGCTTAAAATTAAAATAAATACTTATTGGTATTTGGCATTCAGGCATAATATAGTATTTAGAAGTAATTTATTTAAATATATTGAAAAGTTATCCTTCAGTTAATAGTTTTAATGTTAATGATTAAACTCTTCATAAAACCAAAATGGTCAAAGCTAAAACAAGTACATTACATAGTTAAATATTTGTTGTGTTATAGTGTGTAGTATGTATGAGAATCTTGTGATTTTTTGCCACTTATCACAGTAATTGTGATTAAAACAGAACTTTTATTAGCTGCCCATTCTTATTATAAACTTTACTCTGTATAAGCACTTTGATAAAATATACCTAAATGCGATTTTTATAGTATGCTTAAATTGCTGTCTTAGAATGAAATAGTATTAAACTCTGTGTGTCAGATCTTAACA